GGGGACAGGGACACAGGACTAAAAAATCCCAATTTAAACACTCTTCCTAATGCTAAAAATAAGAGCAAAAACAGTAACTCCATCATTCAGCAAAAATGTAAATAAAATCTTAACCTAAGTCATTTGAGATGTGCTCTAGTAATTGTGAAAAACAATTTATATTTCAAGGAAATTACCAGTGTTATGTCCAGATTATTAGGGAACATTTATTGGATACTTTCACTGACAGGTAACGATGTCCTGGCCTCAAATTCATTTGCATGACTTAAACTATAAAGAAGCAGGCTTGTGGAACCAACTGCACAAAAACATCAGTGGTGGAGGTAAATAACATGCATTTACTATCCCAAAACCAGTTAGATATTTTCTAGGAACAAATAAATATAAAATGGTAGAGCCAACTAGGTACCTGGGATTTAAATGGGACAAATAGATTCTTTTTAGTAATACCTGCCTATTTCTTTATAGGAATGCTAACATAAAAATGTAACATAATTGCTTAAACCTTTTAAAACTGAAATGTGCTATGTGACTACTAAGTATTACACAAGTACTAAATGCTATATGAGTAATGAGAGTTTACAACTATTTACTTTATTCTATTTAAATGAATATTTATTCCTAAATAGAGGAATTATGTGAATTACCTGCTGGAAGAAATGGAAGTTTTCTCAGCTTTTCAAATGCAATTTTAAAAGGCCATATATATGTACAATTTTTTAAAAATGTTTCCCATGATATTGAGTTTCTATTATCTTAAGGTTAACTCTCTTTCAAATGGTGAAGAAATCATGCAGATAAAAAAACTTACATCCTACCACTAACTCAAGACAATGTGTAAAACTGATAAAGCAAACAATTTCCTTTCATTCCAGTAATTCCACCAAAGCCTGTTATCTCTTTTTAAATGGCATATTCCTAAAGACTGCCTAAAAATAGAAAAAAATAGGAACTTAAGCTATTATTTATACTTCCAGAGGCCCAGTGCATGAAATTGGTGCTCGGGGGGGGGAGGGCGGGGAGAGAAGGGGTCACCCAGCCTGTGCCTTCTTGCTTGCAGTCCGGGAGCCCTACGGGATGTCTGACTGCCATGAGCCCGGCTTCTGGCTGAACAGCGCTTCCCCTGTGGGAGCACACTGACCACCAGGGGGCAGTTTCTGCATTGAGTGTCTGCCCTCTGGTGGTCAGTGTGTGTCATAGCAACTGGTCGTTCTGCCGTTGGGCCAAAACGGCTTGCTGACAGCCCCCAAGGGGTTCTGGATTGCAAGAGGTCACAGGCCAGACTGAGGAACCCCACCAGTGCACAATCGGGGCTAGGAAGGGATGCGGAGGTTGACCAGCTGGGGAGGGCCTGTGGGAGGGCTCCAGGGCATGTCTGGCACATCTTGCTCAGTCCCGATCGGCTGGACACCAGCAGCAAGCTAATCTACTGGTTGGAACGTCTGCCCCCTGGTGGTCAGTGTACGTCATAGTGAGCAGTTGAGCGGCCTTAACATATCATTAGCATATTACGTTTTGATTGGTTGAACAGCTGACCGGCCGACAGGACACCTATCATTATTAGGCTTTTATTATATAGTATAAGATTAATAAGGCTACAATAGTTATAGGTTTAGAGTGATCATATTTATTGTTACTTTAAAATACATTAAGGACATAGTTAAATTCTTTAAAATTGACAAAATAAAACTATAAAATAATCAATGGATCTCATAATCAGCCCTGAGGTATATCAAAATGTACTTAAAAGAAACTGAACATTTTATCTTTCAATATGATTTTCAGAAAAATTTATGTCTCTATCAATGCATTCAAAATTAATGGCCCATGCTTGACCGGCAGGTCACTTCCACTATCATAATGGCCAGCAAATGACCACTTTGTTAATTCAGGCTGGATACCAACTGGGAAGGCAACTTCTAGATTGGTGATGCTGGTATATATCTAGGAAAATACTGTACCCATACTGCTCTTTATGCAGGGTAGAATTTGTATTTTATTTCATGTTATCTTCCTCTATGATTAAAGAAAAGATAAACTGAATGACAGGAATCAAAGAATAATATTGTTAAATATGAGTGGTTAATTCAAATATAATATACTTTAATTATTCTGTCAATTAGGTTAAGGTAAAGAAAAAAAGTGAAATTTATTCTTCCATAGATAATAACACAGCACTAATGTGCTATCTTTGTGTTGAACTGAAGGCCACAGAGTTGTTTTACGATACTAAAAAATACTATTAATTGTTTCATTCTGACTAAGCAAAATTAACATTGTGGATGGCCTACTTCATTTCTCATTTCTGCCACTTGGTAATTGTCTCCTTATCTTTTCATAAAATATCGAAAATTTTATTGCTATCAAAAGAGGTCAACATCTTTTATCACTAAGTTTTGTCTTAAGCAAATGCTATTTTTAAAGTCAGAAAAATTAATGGATTACGCAGTATTAATTTGCCTAAAAGAAAATAAAACTGATATTTTCCCTTTCATTTTGATATTTAAATCATTATTGGTATTACACTGTAATGAGATAAAGGTTCATTAAGACAGCCTTTTTTATGTAAAAACAAAACACACTAGAGGGGAAATTCTTTACTGAGCTACAATTACCCTCCAAGGATATAGCAATTATTCAACATGTTCCAATACAAAATCAAAATACTACATATGCACACACCTAAGGATTTCATCCACTCCTGAAACTCTCTGAATTTTTCTCCTAAGAACATTAATAAAATTATATATCATTTTAGAAATAGAAAATACACTTTTAAAAATAATTTTTAAAATCAAAGCAGTATATATACATAGTTAAATAGTACTAAAATCTTACAATGAAATAGCAGTCCTCTGCCCAAATACCCCAATTCCTATCCCCTCAGCAGCAATATCTGCTACCCTTTTAGCAGACT